ATATTAAAGGTTGGTCATTAATAATCTGCCTAGAGACTACAGATTTATATATACGCTGATGTTTCCGCAATAAAGTTGAAGTGTCTTGCATCAGTCTTCATTTCCCGATATATCGTAAGCTATCACTCAGGTGTAACTGGTGGGGGCCCCCAATGAGAGGAAAAACTCAACAACAACCCTTTGAACTGGTGTCGGAAGAAGTGGGATAATAATCACCAAGGTGAGTAAGAATCTTTTTTTTCTATTGTTTTAAGAAAAAGAGATGCTTTTCTTGCCGAGGTCATTATTTCTGAACTTAAAAGTGAGATTGGTGGATGGAGTTTAGGAGCGAGAAAGGGACTCTCAGCTCGGGACATAGAATATCGTCATACACCTGACATAGCACTTATTGTTTTTTGTTTGTTTTTGTTTTTTGTTGTATTGCTGTATTGTCTTACTAATCTGCTGCTGTTGTTATTGTTGTTGTTAGGGGGAATTCCTTAGGTAAGGAGGAAATACCTCGCCATGTGCCGCCGCTAAAAGCATTAAAGTTGATTAAATTGATGAAGAAAAATAGAGACAAAAAAAGCAGAAAGGAGAAATGCAGTTGTTCCCATAAATGAGACTTGTAAAGAATTTGTGACTAGAGGTTTTTTTTTGGATTACTATTATGTTAATCCATGGGTGGATAATTTAGTAAGCTGGTCAGAAGGATTGGGAGGAGCGAGTTTTCCCCGGGAAGGAGGGAATGACACAATGTGCATGGATATGGTAAGGGGTATGTGCCTGCATGAGCAGGCAGAGGCGGATGTTTGGGGAAAGGGTCAAGGATTATATGTTTGAGGGAGGTAAGAATTGGTTGACATATGCACCAGGATATAGAACCTTAATTGCAGCAAATATTACTGTGCCACCACCACCCTACAAACATAGAGAGGTTAATTCAGTTACACCAACTTCCCCACAGATAGCCCCGTTATATCCAGCACTTCCCCACAGATAGCCCCGTTATATCCAACACTTCCCCACAGATAGCCCCGTTATATATCCAGCACTTCCCCACAGATAGCCCCGTTATATCCAGCACTGCACCACAGATAGCCCCGTTATATCCAGCACTTCCCCACAGATAGCCCCGCACTTCCCCACAGATAGCCCCGTTATATCCAGCACTTCCCCACAGATAGCCCCGTTATATCCAGCACTTGCACCACAGATAGCCCCGTTATATCCAGCACTTCCCCACAGATAGCCCCGTTATATCCAGCACTTCCCCACAGATAGCCCCGTTATATCCAGCACCTCCCCGCAGATAGCCCCGTTATATCCAGCACTTCCCCGCAGATAGCCCCGTTATATCCAGCACTTCCCCGCAGATAGCCCCGTTATATCCAGCACTTCCCCACAGATAGTCCCGTTATATCCAGCACTTCCCCGCAGATAGCCCCGTTATATCCAGCACTTCCCCGCAGATAGCCCCGTTATATCCAGCACCTCCCCGCAGATAGCCCCGTTATATCCAGCACCGCCCCGCAGATAGCCCCGTTATATCCAGCACCGCCCCGCAGATAGCCCCGTTATATCCAGCACCGCCCCGCAGATAGCCCCGTTATATCCAGCACCGCCCCGCAGATAGCCCCGTTATATCCAGCACCCGCCCCGCAGATAGCCCCGTTATATCCAGCACCGCCCCGCAGATAGCCCCGTTATATCCAGCACCGCCCCGCAGATAGCCCCGTTATATCCAGCACCGCCCCGCAGATAGCCCCGTTATATCCAGCACCGCCCCGCAGATAGCCCCGTTATATCCAGCACCGCCCCGCAGATAGCCCCGTTATATCCAGCACCGCCCCGCAGATAGCCCCGTTATATCCAGCACCGCCCGCAGATAGCCCCGTTATATCCAGCACCTCCCCGCAGATAGCCCCGTTATATCCAGCACCTCCCCGCAGATAGCCACGTTATATCCAGCACTTCCCCACAGATAGCCCCGTTATATCCAGCACTTCCCCACAGATAGCCCCGTTATATCCAGCACTTCCCCACACTGATAATACAGAGGATGATGAAGACATCATCATTTCAGCAGTCCGAGATAGAAGACAGCGCAGAGCAAATGAGAGAGAGCCAGAAAGTTCAGATGATGAAAGTGAAACAGAGGAAGAGGAGGAAAAGAAAAACAAAGTTGAGAGAAAGGAAAAGAAAGTGGTGGAGGTAAGTTATAGGATTATGAGGCCGAGTGATGAGCCAAAGGAAGAGAAGAGGATTGGAGCCGATAGAAGAGGAAGAGAAAGTGAGCTCAGCTTACCCATTTATGACCGTTGGGGGATTGTCAGGGCTCCCAGGTGTGACCAGAGATGTGTGACTGACGCAGGGAAACGCAGACCTCAGATATGTTATAAACAATATAATTTATTAACACTAACAATACAAACATAAACGCAGTGCAATACTAAACATAATACAGTGCAAACAAACCCAACCAACCACCCACAGATAACAGTACATACAAGCAAGCGTCGTCAGGCAGGCCGGGTCAATATCAATAGGGCAGGTAGGTACAGGGGGAGCAAGCGGAGATTGGTCAGGGTCACAAAGCCAGGGATCAGAACAGGTAGCAAGCAGCGTGGTACAGAGGGTCAGACAGAGGGATGGTCAGGAGCGAGCCGGGATCAGAGCAGGAGAAGTCAGCAGCGGTTCAGAAACAGGATGCAGGACAGAAACAGGATACAGGGCCCAGGACAAAGACACACCAAGGCAGAGTCTGTGGGTCTGGCCATCCCTTAAATACCCCAGCATAATCAGTTACAGGTGTTAGCTGGCTGCAAAGTTGAGTCTCTGATTGCTGGGAACACCCGCTGGCCAGCCCTGGTACTGCAGATCAAAAGGCAGGTGAGTCCCACCATAGCTGGCCAGTCCATTCCTGACAGTACCCCCCCCCCCCTCAAGGAGCGGCCTCAGGACGCTCTCCAAACAGTCCTAGCTGGGAAAAATGTTCCACCGCCCGGGTCTGGTAACTGGTGGGATATCAAAGACTGGCACACCGGGCAGCGGTACATCGGGCTGGACTCCGGGCAGAGGCACTCCGGGCAGAGGCACACCGGGCTGGACTCCGGGCAGAGGCACACCGGGCTGGACTCCGGGCAGAGGCACACCGGGCTGGACTCCGGGCAGAGGCACACCCGTGCAGAGGCACACCGGGCTGGACTCCGGGCAGAGGCACATCGGGCTGGACTCCGGGCAGAGGCACATCGGGCAGAGGCACATCGGGCAGGACTCCGGGCAGAGGCACATCGGGCAGGACTCCGGGCAGAGGCACATCGGGCAGGACTCCGGGCAGAGGCACATCGGGCAGGACTCCGGGCAGAGGCACATCGGGCAGGACTCCGGGCAGAGGCACATCGGGCTACCCCAGCGCGAAGCGGCAGGCCTCGGGCCCCCAGGCGGGGCGACAGGCATCGGACCCCCAGGCGGGGCGACAGGCATCGGACCCCCAGGCGGAGTGGCGGGCGCCGGACCCCCAGGCGGAACTACAGGTCTCGGGCCCTCAGACGGAGCGACAGGCCTCGGGCCCTCAGGCGGAGCGACAGGCATCGGGCCCCCAGGCGGGGCGACAGGCATCGGGCCCCCAGGCGGGGCGACAGGCATCGGGCCCCCAGGCAGGGCGACAGGCATCGGGCCCCCAGGCGGGGCGACAGGCATCGGGCCCCCAGGCGGAGCGGCGGGCGCCGTGCCCCCATGCGGAGCGGCGGGCGCCGGACCCCCAGGCGGAGCTACAGGTCTCGGGCCCTCAGGCGGAGCGGCGGGCGCCGGACCCCCAGATGGAGCGACAGGTCTCGGGCCCTCAGGCGGAGCAACAGGTCTCGGGCCCCCAGACGAAGCGGCGGGGCACCGAGTCACCAGGCACGACAGTGGGCACCGAGTCGTCTGGCAAGACTGCGGGCACCGAGTCAACTGGTGGAACAGCGGGCATCGAGTCGTCTGGCGGAACAGCGGGCACCGAGTCGTCTGGCGGAACAGCGGGCACCGAGTCGTCTGGCGGAACAGCGGGCACCGAGTCGTCTGGGAACTGCGGGCACCGAGTCGTCGTCTGTCAAGACTGCGGGCACCGAGTCGTCTGGCAAGACTGCGGGCACCGAGTCGTCTGGCAAGACTGCGGGCACCGAGGCGTCTGGCGGAACAGCAGGCTTCGAGTCGTCTGGCAAGACTGCGGGCACCGAGTCAACTGGCGGAACAGCGGGCACCGAGTCGTCTGGCAAGACTGCGGGCACCGAGTCAACTGGCGGAACAGCGGGCATCGAGTCAACTGGCGGGACTGCGGGCACCAAGTCGTCTGGCAAGGCTGCGGGCACCGAGTCGTCTGGCAAGACTGCGGGCACCGAGTCGTCTGGCAAGACTGCGGGCACCGAGTCGTCTGGCAAGACTGCGCGGGGCACCGAGTCGTCTGGCAAGAGACTGCGGGCACCGAGTCAACTGGCGGAACAGCGGGCATCGAGTCAACTGGCGGAACAGCAGGCACCGAGTCGTCTGGCAAGACTGCGGGCACCGAGTTGTCTGGCAAGACTGCGGGCACCGAGTCAACTGGCGGAACAGCGGGCATCGAGTCAACTGGCGGAACAGCGGGCACCGAGTCAACTGGCAAGACTGCGGGCACCGAGTCGCCTGGCAAGACTGTGGGCATCGAGTCAACTGGCGGAACAGCGGGCACCGAGTCGTCTGGCAAGACTGCGGGCACCGAGCCAACTGGCGGAACAGCAGGCTTCGAGTTGTCTGGCAAGACTGCGGGCACCGAGTCAACTGGCGGAACAGCGGGCACCGAGTCGTCTGGCAAGACTGCGGGCACCGAGTCGTCTGGCAAGACTGCGGGCACCGAGTCGTCTGGCAAGACTGCGGGCACCGAGTCGTCTGGCAAGACTGCGGGCACCGAGTCGTCTGGCGGAACAGCGGGCACCGAGTCGTCTGGCAAGACAGTGGGCTCCGAGTCAACAGGCACGACAGTGGGCACCGGGTCATCAGGTATCGGATTGTCTGGCTCGACAGCGGGCATCGGGTCACCAGGTATGACAGCGGGCACTGGGTCACCAGGCATCAGGTCATTTGGCTTGCCAGGGGCACCGCGTCATCTGGCAAGGCAGTGGGCACCGGGTCACCAGGTATGACAGAGGGCTCTGAGTCAAATTGGCACGACAGCGGGCACTGGATCAGGTACCGGATCATCTGGATCAACAGCGGGCATCGAGTCAACTGGCCTAATAGGATCGTCGGGCTGGATCAGTTTCATCATGCTGAGTAGCGGCATCAGGCTGAGGAGAGGCATCAGGCTGAGTAGAGGCTTCAGGCTGAGGAGAGGCTTCAGGCTGAGGAGAGGCTTCAGGCTGAGAGGAGAGGCTTCAGGCTGAGGAGAGGCATCCGGCTGAGTAGAGGCTTCAGGCTGAGTAGAGGCTTCAGGGTGAGTAGAGGCTTCAGGCTGAGTAGAGGCTTCAGGCTGAGTAGAGGCTTCAGGCTGAGTCACGGAAGGCAGGCTCACCCGGTTTGGATACTGGCAGGATGGTATTGGTTTGGAAAGAATTTTCGCTTTTTTTCTGGTTTTAACTACTGGAGCACTGCAAGTAAACGCAGGTCTGCAAACGAATGGAGCAGCTGGAGACAGAGAAAAGCTGGAGGATGGAACAGGAGAGGGAGCAGTTGCTACAGAGGGCTTTTTTTACAGGGTTAAAGGCAGGATAGGTGCAGCGAGTGGGAACAGGGGACTGACATGCGGTAGATAGCAGGGTATACTGGGCTGTAACTGGAGGAGCTGTTGGGAATACAGGAGTAGAGTTAGAAGCAGGACTGGGTCTTTGTAAGCTGACTGAGGCTGGGTGCAACAAGTCTGTCCATGTCTGCAGTATGGGTTGAACAAAGCTGAGCTTACACAAAGCCTGTCTGGTCAATGACTGCACTGCGTTTATACAATCTCTTAGTGTCTGTGGTGAACATGTGGAATAACGCTCCAGAAAGTAACCCACATCATCCTCTAATAACCACACCAGGGACTCTACCTGGTCTGCACTAAATGGTGGCAAAAATTCATCCCTGCATTCGGGGGAACCAGATGAAACCAACTCAACACAAACCTGAATCAATGGCTGCACCATAGAGAAATCTGTGCCCTGATCTACTAGAACATGAGCGAGCCGCATACATTCTAGCAGTTCATCCCGGGGATACTCCTTCAGAGTCTGATAAGCATAGTCTCTGTCATCAAGCACTAGCAGAGATAAATACTCAACCTCATCCAGATCCATCCTTCCCAGCAACAAGCCAAGATGGCTTCCCTGTGCAGCCACTTCTGGTCAGGATTGGCCTTGGTGTAATGTCAGGGCTCCCAGGTATGACCAGAGGTATGTGAACTGACGCAGGGAAACGCAGACCTCAGATATGTTATAAACAATATAATTTATTAACACTAACAATACAAACATAAACGCAGTGCAATACTAAACATAATACAGTGCAAACAAACCCAACCAACCACCCACAGATAACAGTACATACAAGCAAGCGTCGTCAGGCAGGCCGGGTCAATATCAATAGGGCAGGTAGGTACAGGGGGAGCAAGCGGAGATTGGTCAGGGTCACAAGCCAGGGATCAGAACAGGTAGCAAGCAGCGTGGTACAGAGGGTCAGACAGAGGGATGGTCAGGAGCGAGCCGGGATCAGAGCAGGAGAAGTCAGCAGCGGTTCAGAAACAGGATGCAGGACAGAAACAGGATGCAGGACAGAAACAGGATGCAGGGCCCAGGACAAAGACACACCAAGGCAGAGTCTGTGGGTCTGGCCATCCCTTAAATACCCCAGCATAATCAGTTACAGGTGTTAGCTGGCTGCAAAGTTGAGTCTCTGATTGCTGGGAACACCCGCTGGCCAGCCCTGGTACTGCAGATCAAAAGGCGGGTGAGTCCCACCATAGCTGGCCAGTCCATTCCTGACAGGGATGAGCTGATTTTAAAGGCATTAGATGCGAAGGAGTTAAATGCTATAGTACAAGGATGCCCCAACCCCAGGAAGTCTCCAGGGGGAGCAGTATCCTGGTTTAAAATAACGTGTGTTAATTGTAGAAAAGATATTGGGAGATATTACAGATGAATTTGAATGGGATAATTGTCCAATATTTAACAATGAGGATAATACTGAGTTGGGACATAGGGCGTGGTCCACAAAGCAGGGTGTGGATAAATATCCCCTGTGATCTAGGGAGCAGAGGGATGCAGTGTTGGAGGAAGTTAAACGTGAATTGGTAAAGCTTTACAAGCAGAGGAAATCATTTGCTCCAATTGTAGCATGTAGGCAAAATATTACTGAAACTGCCACATATTTTATTAAAAGGTTTAAAAAGCTATGGCTGGAAGAAGGAGGGATGGATTTAAGTGATGGGGAAAGTGGATCTGTTTTTATCCAATCATGGATGAATGGAGCCTTGCCCCATGTTAGTTTAGTGTTTAGACAGCTGTATGATGGTTGGCATAGAAAGTATGGGACCCCCCTGGATATTTTCTCCAGTAACACTAGATCAATAGGAATAGAGGAAAAGGAAACACCCACTTGCATTACATCCACTCCCAGTACGGACAAAGGATGGACAGGTCTGGTATCATAGATTTCATGTGCTCCCACATTGCCCAGGATTAGAGATGAGCGAAGAAATGAAAAATTCGATTCGGCTGATTCGGCGAATTCCAGTGTGAAATTCGATTCGATGCGAATTTCTCCGCTACGAAGATGACTTATTTAAAGGGTTTCTAGGCTTCAGAGAGCCTTTAAATTAGTGCAGAACACTGTACCTTTAATTTAAATGCCCTTGGAGATGAGGAAGGAGAAGGAGAAGGAGAAGGATGAGAAGAAGGAGAAGGAGAAGGATGAGAAGAAGGAGAAGGAGAAGGATGAGAAGAAGGAAGAAGGATGAGAAGAAGGAGAAGGATGAGAAGAAGGAGAAGGAGAAGGATGAGAAGAAGGAGAAGGAGAAGGATGAGAAGAAGGAGAAGGAGAAGGATGAGAAGAAGGAGAAGGATGAGAAGAAGGAGAAGGATGAGAAGGAGAAGGATGAGAAGGAGAAGGATGAGAAGAAGAAGGCTGAGAATAAGGAGAAGGATGAGAAGAAGGAGAAGGAGAAGGATGAGAAGAAGAAGGAGAAGGATGAGAAGAAGGAGAAGGAGAAGGATGAGAAGAAAGAGAAGGATGAGAAGGAGAAGGATGAGAGAGAAGAAGGATGAGAAGAAGAAGGATGAGAAAAGGATGAGAAGAAAAAGGATGAAGAAGAAGAAGGATGAGAAGAAGGAGAAGGATGAGAAGAAGGAGAATGATGAGAAGAAGGAGAAGGATGAAGGAAGGAGAAGAAGAGAGAGAAGGAGAAGGAGAAGGATGAGAAGAAGAAGAAGATGAGAAGAAGGAGAAGGATGAGAAGAAGGAGAAGGATGAGAAGAAGGAGAAGGATGAGAAGAAGGAGAAGGAGAAGGATGAGAAGAAGGAGAAGGATGAGAAGAAGAAGGATGAGAAGAAGGAGAGAAGAAGGAGGAGAAGGATGAGAAGAGAAGGATGAGAAGAAGGAGAAGGATGAGAAGAAGGAGAAGGAAGAGAAGAAGGAGAAGGAGAAGGATGAGAAGGAGAAGGATGAGAAGAAGGAGAAGGATGAGAAGAAGGAGAAGGATGAGAAGAAGGAGAAGGTGAGAAGAAGAGAGAAGGAGAAGGATGAGAAGAAGGAGAAGGATGAGAAGAAGGAGAAGGAGAGAAGAAGGATGAGAAGGATGAGAAGAAGGAGAAGGATGAGAAGAAGGAGAATGATGAGAAGAAGAAGGAGAAGAAGGAGAAGGATGAGAAGAAGGAGAAGGATGAGAAGAAGGAGAAGGATGAGAAGAAGGAGAAGGATGAGAAGAAGGAGAAGGAGAAGGATGAGAAGAAGGAAAGGATGAGAAGAAGGAGAAGGATGAGAAGAAGGAGAAGGATGAGAAGAGGAGAAGGAGAAGGATGAGAAGAAGGAGAAGGAGAAGGATGAGAAGGAAGGAGAAGGATGAGAGAAGAAGGAGAAGGATGAGAAGGAGAAGGAGAAGGATGAGAAGGAGAAGGATGAGAAGAAGGAGAAGGAGAAGGAGAAGGATGAGAAGAAGGAGAAGGAGAAGGATGAGAAGAAGGAGAAGGATGAGAAGAAGGATGAGCAGAAGGAGAAGGATGAGAAGAAGGAGAAGGATGAGAAGAAGGAGAAGGATGAGAAGAAGGATGAGAAGAAGGATGAGAAGAAGGAGAAGGATGAGAAGAAGGACAGTTCTGTGACAGTTTCTGTCTATTTGAAGGACAGTTCTGGGACATTCACTCCATACAGAAGCGGTTTTCAACCGCTGTATGGAGGGAATGTCATAGAACTGTCAGAAATAGACTATTAATGACAGTTCTGGGACTGTCCTTCCATGCAGCGGTTGAAACATTGTATGTATTTGTTTCCATAGAAAATGGATCCATTTATGGAAACAAATACATACAATGTTTCAACCGCTGCATGGAAGGACAGTCCCAGAACTGTCATTAATAGTCTATTTCTGACAGTTCCATGACATTCCCTCCATACAGCGGTTAAAACAGCTGTATGCAGTGAATGTCCCAGAACTGTCATAAATAGTCTATTTCTGATAGATCTGGGACATCACTCCATACAGCTGTTTTAACCGCTGTATGAGGGAGGGAATGTCATGGAACTGTCAGAAATAGACTATTAATGACAGTTGTTGGGACTGTCCTTCCATACAGCGGTTGAAACATTGTATGTATTTGTTTCCATAAATGGATCCATTTATGGAAACAAATACATACAATGTTTCAACCGCTGCATTGAAGGACAGTCCCACAACTGTCATTAAATAGTCTATTTCTGACAGTTCCATGACATTCCCTCCATACAGCGGTTAAAACAGCTGTATGCAGTGAATGTCCCAGAACTGTCATAAATAGTCTATTTCTGACAGTTCTGGGACATTCACTCCATACAGCGGTTTCCGGCAAAAAGTGTATGTGCAGAGTTCCTCTATTCTGCAGATACACTTAGAGGAGCTCTGCAGATACACTTAGAGGAGCTCTGCACATACACTTTTTTCCGGTTTGGAATTATTCTTATTTTCATCCTACTTCTTCTTCTTCTTCTTCATCCTCATCCTCATCCTCTTCTTCTTCTGAGGATGAGGTTTTGCCGGCTTGGAATTATTCTTCTTTTCATCCTACTTCTTCTTCTTCTTCTTCTTCATCCTCATCCTCAGAAGAAGAGGATGAGGATGAGGATGAGAGAAGAAGAAGAAGAAGAATGAAAAGAAGAATAATTCCAAGCCGGCAAAAAGTGTATGTGCAGAGTTCCTCTTTCTGACAGTTCTCTCACAGCTTCTTCACATGTACAGCGGTTGAAATATCTGTATCCTAAATGGAAACTAATAGATACAAATTGTATCTATTAGTTTCCATTTAGGATACAGATGTTTCAACCGCTGTACATGTGAAGAAGCTGTGAGAGAACTGTCAGAAATAGAGGAA